TCGCAATTATAAAAGCCTAGCATGCCTTATCCGTGAGTTGCCTTTCCTGTGACTTCTTCTTATCCATTATAAACCATTAGTCAGCTTTTATGGGATTGTCTAGATAACCTCTCTTGGAACTATTAAGCCAACATAAAAACTCTTAACATTGACATTTTTCTCGATTATGTGGTTTAAATCGGTTCTTTTTAAAATATATTCAATTACATTATCCTCTGCCTTTTTCTCAAAATTAACTTACGCATCTCCATGCCCCAATACAGACTTGCTCCGAAATTTATTTAAGAGTATTAGAGCGCATAGTTATATGTCTATAGTGTGTATTGAGATGTTCAAGTAAGCAGTGATTGACAATTAAAGAGCTCCGTAGTCTGTCGGATTCGAAGGGCCGCACGTTTTTGTTACAAAGCAAATATAAACTAATGCAAAATGGAGCAACAGAATAGTGGGGTCGTGATCCCGCATTTAAGCAGAATTTTGAAGGGCTCGTACAAAGTGGAAGAAAGCCATGTAGAAAAATAGAAATTTTCTTCCTTCCTAATCCAAAAGGCCTTATTTTTACGACATTGATGGTATTAATGATGATGGAAGAAAGGGCAAATATAAAACAAAGCTACTTGATCGAATTTTGTACAAATAAACTCATCATCAAAAATATTCTTTGTGCTTTAAGTGGGCGAAGTTTGGCCGACTTAATTAAGTTATGTACAGGTCTCTTTGGGCAGCTGCGAGTCGTTTGCTATCACAGATGCAAAGCATACTTTGACAAGCCTACTAGTTTGGTGAATGCATATATACACGTAAATATATATATATATATTTATATATAATTATGTACAGACATAAAGAGGTGCAAGTGCAGTGTCACTGACTAACCACTGCTGGTAATTTAGCTCATTGTTGAGACATTTTAAATTATTATATATTTTTCCTTTGAAGGTGTTGCTATGTGAAGATAGCCGCTTTAGACCGTCGAGGAAGTGAGAGCAGATACAATGCCTATTGGAGTATAGCGCCCGAACCATTATAGAGAAACATAAAAGAAAAAGGAAACAGTGAGATCAAGTGGTTAGATTATAAGGCTGAAGGAAGTCAAAAGTTAGAGGCCAATCAAAAGATTTAAAGAACAATTTAGCTTTCAGATAGCGATGTCCTAACCCTTGACTTAAGGATGCCCTGAAACAAAATTGGTTGGAGCTCATCTCCATTCCCCTCGATATCAATGTCCTCATCTTCCTCTCCAGTACCGCCTGCTTGTGCCAACTGCGTCTGTCTTCTATTCTTCTCTTTACCATGTCCTGTTGCGACAAATGCTGGCTCAATTCGCTCTTTTTCTCCTGGCAACCCACTAAGCCCTAAATTTATGAAGGAATTAGAAAGCTCGGAACTTGAGTGGATTGGCACTGTCCTGCCAGATGAGTCAGCACTAATATTCTTTGGAGAACAATCATCATTCCTATAGTCACTATAAGCTATGCGTGCAGGCTGTGGGCTCTGATAGTCGACTTGCTTTAGATCTTCAAAATTACATCCGTTTCCGACAGTGGAAGTATTGATTGAAATATTAAGATGTGCGACAATCTGGCCAGTCTGTTTAAGTTCAGAATGACTACTGTCCTGAGGTTTAGTTGACCCTAGACGTGATGCTATTGTAGGCTCCTCAATCGGTAAGGTAACAGGTGTCGGTCGGCCCCGAACTGCAGACACAGGGCTGGTATGTCTGGGTTTTGGTCTGACAGCATTGGTTGAAGTTTGGGTGGGGATAAAGAGAATCGGACAGGAAGAACTCGAGGGCTCTGAAGAGGGTTTCAACAAGGCTGATGATGTTGGTGGTGTTGATGTTAATAAGGGCGACGAATGAGAAACTAGTGTTGTGCCTGCCACA